GAGGTCTTCTGGATGGAGTGACATGCTCTATAAGGTATATATGGTATTTAGCCTCTTCTTATAATGGGGAGAGTTGTGACTGGAGACTCTTTCTGGAGCTCCTTTAGGTTCTTGTAGCAATTTTGCATTTTTACATCACTTAAAAGTGGTGTATTATGGATATACCATATATCTATATATAACACCTCCTATAAAAAATCACCTTATCAACATGGATACTCATGGAGGTGGTCTCACATTGGAGGTTGGGTTTTATCAGTTAAAGTCATTATTTCAAGTTGGTGATCCATCAGATGGGACATTCTGTGATATATTGAGGAACTGGTGGATCTACATTTTTGCTCTCCTGCAGGTTGTTCCTACATGTCTTGAATGGTGCAGGTGGACCGAGCTGTATTTGAAGAAGCCTTACTGAGGCCTAACCGAGAAGACTTTGTGAACCTCTTCTTGGAGCAAGGCTTTCAGATCCACAAGTACCTGACTCCCAGGAAGCTCAAACACCTCTTTGTCAGAGTCCAGCACCAGGAGTTCTTCCGCTCCGTGTGCTGGGAGGGAGCTCTGGGGCATGGACTGGTAACTAGCCCACTTTGTTCCATTCTACTCTAAATAATTAACAAAGTGGCATCCGAGGATGAGTTTATTACTTTTTAAAAAATATTATCTAAAGATTTTGGGTATTAGAAACCCTTCTGTTGATAGTATGCAGCATTGCCTTACTTCTTTTTGTGGTTTGAGCCAATCAGTACTCCTTTATTCTATCTATATAACTGTGGCTTCCTGTTGTGTTTATAGTTATTTAATCAGGACAATTAGGTGTTCTGGCATTCCCAAAAGTCTTAGTGTTGTCTCCATAGTTTAGTGTGATCTATGCTTTACCATAGTCAATGAAACATGTATATATCTTTATTTCTCCATGCCTCTACATTATCCATCTTAGGTTTGCTATTTGTTCTTCTATCTCTTCTGAAACCTGCTTGTTCTTGTGGTAATTCTCTATTTAAATGAGGTTATACGCTATTATGTATTATATTTTGAGAATTACTATATCCCATATAACCAGCTAAAATTCACCACCAAGACATGGTGTTGAATTATTTGTTTCTGTAAATATGGAAACTATATTTATTAGTTGATGTGGCAGCACCTTCTATTTCTATGCTGTCTTTAGTCTTGTTAGTTTTTGATGATCTAATTTGTATGAATGCGTTTTGGGATTATAGGACAAAAGTACACATATCTGTATATTTAGAAACAATATTTAAATGTGAGAATTAAAAAAAATAAAGTCTTGCTGCCCTCACAGCAATGATAAAACCCCTTCCAATATTTTCATCATTGCAGCAAGGGACGTAAGAAATTATTTTATTTTAAAAATAGAAACACACATTCATGCTTGGATTTTTACCTCTTGTGATTCAAATTTGACAATTTTTTTTTTTTTTTTTTAAATCAAAGCTTCATATTTATATATTGATTTCTCAGAAAGCCTGTTTTACAAGATTTCTGGTCGCTGAGGTACAGCCTGAAATGCGTTCATGGTTGGCTTTTCTTTATTTATCAAGAAAATAGGTTGGCCAAATATTAAGGATAAAACTTAAGGAAGTTGTACCTTTTAGGATGTTGATCGGGATTCACATAGGATATGCTTTTTTTATTTTTAATATGTATATTTTCATTTTAAAATTTTTAAAAGAGATGTTTTTTGTAATAGAATGCTTTGTTTCTCCCTTTAAAATTCCCTTCCCTCTCTATGTGGTTGTGTGTGGTCAGGTTACCAAGATTGGAAAGAACTTCCTGGAGTCTGACTTGAACTGGCTTATAGAGGTAGTGACGGGAGTTCCTCACTTTGTAGACAGCCAGAGTCTCTCACTGAATACCTTGGGGCTCTACCCGGTAGATGCCTCTGCAGCGGAGCGTAGAGCTCTTGCCACACTGGCTCTTTGGGCTGTCCTGACCCACAAACCCAAGCTGGCCATGATCCTATGGAAGCATTCTGATCAGCCTATCCAGCTAGCACTCATTCTCTCCATGGTCTACGATCGCCTCTGTGCCTACGTGGCTGACATGGGACTCCGCCATGAACTTACAGAGCTATCCATACAGTTTGCCAAAATGGCTGCGGGTGTTTTGGATGCCAGTCATCAGGAAGCTACTTGCCGGGCTTATGATGTCCTCAGTGAGTCCAGTCCAGACTGGGGCCACAAGACGGCTGTTGACATCGCCGCATCGGCCCGTAACCGTACCTTCCTGGCCCACCCCTGCTGCCAGAAGTGGCTCACCAACATGTTCTATGGCAATGTCCGCATGCGGGAACTGCCCTGGGGGCCTATCACCCTCCCTTCATGGTTTAAAGTAAGTCCAGGCTGCCTCCTCTTTACTTGTTATAACACCAACTTGGCTATAAAGAGATTCAACTTTACAGCATTTTTTTGGGTTGCGTTGTCTACCTAATGAAGGTTTCTTAACCTCAAAGGACAGCAGATATACAGTTAAACCTGTCTATAGCTTTTGGGACTCACCAAAATAGGGTGCTATAGAGATGGGGTGCTATAGACAGGTCACTTTTAATGTAAATCGCATCGTACTACGTATTTAAAATCGGGCGCTATATTTGTATATGTGTGTGTTTATAGAGTTTTACATAGCAAACATGATTATATATAATTATATTTTTCTCATTTGTCACTGTTACCAAAACATACAATTACCTCCTTGAGAGGACATTCACACTAGAGGTCACCTCATAACAAACATTAACATTTTTTATGAAAAAGGCATCTCCTTATCGTTCAACTGAAAGTTGCTGATGGCTTGCGCCATCTATCGGAATAAATATCAACTATTCTCGTTGATTTCTAATTATTCCAGAATTGGCCAATTACCCATTCTTGATTAATCAAGAAAAGCTAACCACGTACGCGTTTTGGGCTGTTGGCCCTCATCTGCGTGGTGCAAGCTGTACCTCAACGACCAAAAAACTGGTCCTTCAGGCATCTTGAAAAATCATGAAACGGGTAGTTAAGGCCAGAATTGCATGAGACCGCGACACAATGTGACAAAATTTTCATAATTTATGAACCTTATCCCAGTACAATATCGCATTTGTATTATTTTTTCACATTAACATTTTTGCTATATCAATTGATTTAAATCTCCTGGACATAAACACAGGTTTCTCTCTGGAGATGAGTTTTCTTAGTTATATTCATTTTATTAAACGTAGTCTCAAGCTTTCGAGCCTCTCTGCCTTTCTATAGGGGAAGATAAATAAAGGAATAATATGACACCCCCCCTGATGCTAATGTGATATAGGCTTAGCAAAAATACGATGTTTCTTTTTAATGATTTCTAGTTGTTTTTGTACTCACGTATGTTGTAGTTACGAGGACATCCCTTTAGATAAAAACAAATATATATTTAACGACTTGTTCCAATACAAATATTGTTAAAACAAGCTAGCGATAAAACATAACAGAAAGGTTGAAGGTAGAAGTTGGAAGTGACGTCAGCATCGATGATGATTAAAGTCAAAGATTGCGTAACATAATGTATATAGATTTTTGTAATAGTTTGGTATCAGGTGGTGTTTTATTCCTTTATTTATGTTCTCTCTTCCCCGGCAGACACCATCAACAAGCTTTACAAGCTTGATACCTTAGTGTGATTGAGTGGAGATAAGAAAGAAGAAGATTTATGTTCTCCTGTAGAAGGGCAGAGATTTATCCAAAAACTTGAGACTACGTTAATAAAATGAAAATAAACTCAACTCCAGAAACCTGAGGTATTGTTTCATTTTTACTATATAGCAACTCTCCAGTAAGAGGACACCTCTATCTAAAGGACACCTTGGCTCTACAACTAGGTGTTGTTACTTACTGAGAGGTAGTTCTACTGTATTTGGATCCTTTAAAGATGTACCATCACAATGTGAGTGTTTTGCAGGTGCTGGTCTGTGCATTCCTCATCTTCCCCATGTATTTCTGGGTGAGGTTCAAGATGGACCCTCACCAGAACTGGGATTACTTCCGTGAGGTCACAGGTAACAATTCTTACAACTGTAGAAACCCAACTCTCTGATAAACTGTCTATTTATCACAGTTTTCCCTTTATTGAGATCCATACTTGTTAGATTCGTTGAAATGGCCTCTTTATTAATGTTGCCTTACAATTTTCAAACCTCTTGGCCCTTTCAGAAAGAAAGAATTCAAACTTGGCTTCTTTTAAAAAAAATTCAACCCCTTTCTCCCCAGGACTGTATAATTTATTTATCCAGCCAACATATAAAATTACAATAGTGTTTTTCTTTTCTCCACATGATTCTATTTATTATTGTATATACAAAGAGCACTAGCAAAGTTTAGCAATACGCTCCAATCCGTGCGCCCATGTGAGCACAAGTTTGAACTTGCTGAGCCCTGTTAATATTTAAACTGCAGTCAAAATTACATTTGCTAAATGTTAGTATTCTTTGAGCTGTGAAGTGATAAAATATTAAGAATGTCTACCTGGCGCAAAATTGAATACCGAGCCATTTTGTGATATAACTTTGAATGCAGTTTAAGCATTGAAGAATGCTTGCAAGAATAGTTTCCTGTGTACTGGGAAATAATTTTCCACATCGTACTACCATATTCAGGTGGTATCATGAGTTTCAGCGAGGAAAATATGACATAAGAGACATAATCACTTTGTCAGTTAATGAGGAAATGTTAAATTGTCATAAAGGATTATGTAGGAATCTATATTTTCAGATATCAGCTTTAAGTTGAGTTTCTTTCATCAACATGTCATCTCCATTTCTGTAGCTGGCCATCAGGGAATGCCATTACAACTTTAAGTAAGATTCCATCATCATGGAATTTAGGAGCTGATTCTGTAGAAGGGTCCTTAGAACCAAATACTGAATTATGGTAGTTGTCTCTCTTAGATGAGTTGCTGATCAAGGTTATGAAACCGCTCTTGTTTCGAAGTCAGATTTACTTATTCAAAAGAGGAGGAAGAGCTTGTAGCATTTAGTGTTCCTAAGTACTGATCAGGCCTGATATTGCTTAACATCAGTGATCTGATGGGAATTGATGGTTTCAATATACAGCATATAACCTCTTTAATATCAACCAACTATAATTCAACTCTTACTTTAATTCAACTTTTTTTTTTTAAATCCCCAATCAGACTATTTCCTAAACTGACTATAATGAAATCAAAATTTCTGATTATCTGGTTGTTGAATTAAAGTTAGACTGTAGCCTTTAAAATAAAGGTCTATTATATTTTCATATAATTAGACTCTGCTAGGCTTTGTAAACACATTTCTATGCTATGTAAAAATGTTTCTTTTTATCTCCTCTATACTAAATACCATGATGCATGTGTGTTTGCCTGCTTGCTCTCTTCTCTTTCCTTCTCTCTATCACCTGGCCATGTGAGTATTTCTCAACTCCCACATATGTGTGTGTACTTTCTCCCGACAATGTGGGTTTAGTCTAGGGATACTGTGGAACCTGTTGTAAGAGAACTGAGATCCAGGATCTCAGGTCAGGTTTATCCCTCAGTGCAGGTACTGTTGCGGCATGATTTTTCACTGAATAATACAAAGAAGCAATTGGCCACTGAGTAGATTTTAAATACAGTTAAACCTGTCTATAGCACCCTCTCTTGGGAATCATCAAAATAGGGTGCTATAGAGAGGGGGTGCTATTGACAGGTCACTTTTAATGTAAATTTCATCGTACTATATATTTAAAATAAGGCGCTATTTAGAGGGGGCGCTATAGACAGGTTTAACTGTATAAAGATTTTATCAAGCTCACAGAAAAAAAGTCTTTGATTCAGAATTTAAAGTTTTAACAAAGCGTACATATAGGTAACCCAGGGAATGTATAAGTAGATTGCCTGAAGAGCTACATATAGATAAGCCAGGTTCCTGGAATATATATTATATTTACTTCAATCTATGTAGGACTTTTGTCTTCAATTTATGTAGGACTAGAGTATTAGCATAAATACTTTTTCACACTAAAGTTTTGAGGAGTTTTTGTTTAAAAACGTGACAATGAGAATGATAGGTAAAGAAAGAAAAACCTAAACTTTTGGTTGGTTTGATGCGGTCATTATTTGGAGATATTCAAACTGCCATTTTTTTTTTTCAATGAATAGATCTAATTTTTATATTTTATAGATATTTTTACCTAGGATCTTGTAAAATTCAAGATACTTGGATTTTTAAAGAAATGCCTCTATGGAAACATTTTACATGACCAACCTACCGGCTGCTGAGAAACAAAATCTTTGTAAAAACAACAATAACATAAACCACAACCTCCACAAAGACCACCTCCAGGATAAACCAGAAGTACCAATAGGTTATAAGTGTCCTACACATTGGGCTACGACAGGGGTTGGCAACCTTTTGAGTCGAAAGAGTTAAAAATTACTACTTACCCAGTCACCAAATATCAGTTTTTAAAGAGCCACATTTTTTCGTGCCAACAATAAATAGTACTCACATAAATAATATTTATAAGGGTACTACACACAGCTTCACATCCAAAGAGCCGCATGTGGCTCGCAAGCCTCAGGGTTTTGACCCCTGGCCTACGGTATTGGCCACAATTTCTAAGTATTCCCCGTGTCTTGTGGAGGATTCTACTGTAGCAGATCTAAGTGCCAGCAGCCTGTGTCTACTATAGGAAGTTGCCTACTCACAGCCCCACTTCTTCAGCAACCACTTTTTGACAGATCCAGGCCCTTTACAGTAGAACCTCCTGTGAGAGATTACTGAAAAACTCTGCTGCCATCTCCTGGAGTCTCTTATTGGAGGTTGTGTTATGGCAGGTCATTTTTACAATGAGGGTCATTGTGGGAAGTGGATACTCCCATCAAATGGGAGTATTTATTGCTGTAATTATTGTGCATTGTTTTGGTGCATTTTTAAATGGTAGAGATGCCCTCTTTGCACATGAATATCTTTCCTGTGACCCTGGATCAGAAGCCCTTACAGCTAGTAATCTCAACCTGGACAGCTGAACCCAGGTTTTTTTTTTTGCTTGAGTGTTACTGTTCCACCACCTCCTTTTTTATCCAGGGCTTGGGACCCACAAAATTATAACTGTAATTATAGCTTTCTATTAAAAAAAATGATAGCTTTGGTCCCAATAGCACTCTTTCGTTAAATTTCCAGTTTTTTTTTTAAAGATGTATGTGGATGACAGTTACAGGGGGAGTTTCCACCTTTAACATGTGTAGCAGCAATCAGCTGAGTTGTGTTCCAGACATGGACTCAGATGATGAGAACGAGGAGGATGAAGATGAAGAGACCATCAAGGCCAACAACGTGCCTCTACTCAAGTAAGTCTGGTAGTGAAAGTACTGTCAGGTACTACAGTACTTCTTCTTGCTCCACTCAATCAGGGAAGTAGAATACTTTTGTCATTGAGAGACTTGGGAGTAGTTAGCTGACTTAGCTCCAATGTAAAATGGCCTTCTCTGACTCAAGGAACTGATGTTCCAAACTTGGAGTACAGATCACCCTGGATCAGGATCCCTTATAGCCCGTATTCTCAGTCTGACCAGCTGAATCCAGGTTTATTTGCTTGAGTGTTACTGCTCCACCACCTGTCTCCTTTTTTTATCCAGGGCTTGGGACCGGCAAAGAGACAGAGTTAAATATAATCCTAAAGATGAGCACTTTTTAAAAACTAAAATGACTGCTTAATTAGACTGGAATGGGTACTCCAGTCCTTTTGGAGGTGTTGAACTAATTAAGAGATTTCCACATGTGTTTGCCCTCTCTCATACAACACACATGTGTAACCCTCTCTACTTTAGTCCATTTTAAAATGCCCTAATGAAGCTGACCAATTTTCAGACATATTGTAGAGGTAGGAAGTCATGGCTGTTCAAGTTCACATTGAGAGTATGTAACATGGCAACACTATGTTTGTACTCTAGTCCCTTCAAGGATGTGAACGCTGACCATTTATTACACTTTTAGTTTCATTATTTTTATTTATATACAGTTAAACCTGTCTATAGTGCCCCCTCTAAATAGCGCCTTCCTCTCTATAGCGCCCGATTTTAAATATGTAGTACGATACGATTTACATTAAAAGTGACCTGTCTATAGCATCCCCTCTCTATAGCACCCTATTTTGGTGAGTCTCAAGAGGGGGCGCTATAGACAGGTTTAACTGTAGTAAAATTTGTTATAAGCAGAAGCTCCTTCAGCATGCATCCATGTTATTCCATGTACATAAAGAGGCAGCCGGTGCTATCCAGACCCCAAATTTCACTCTACCTGTGTGGTTGTTCATTCAGCCCATTCGGAGATGCCCAGCTGAAGAGGGAAGAGAAGCCCCAGAGCTCCATGTTCCAGGACAAGGAGGTGTTTGTCCATGGAACTCCCAACCTCCTAGTGATGATCCAGCTCATGTGGAGTGCTCCCATCACCAAGTTTTGGACCTACCAGGTAACGGACTCACAGCACTGACTGACAGACCCCCTGACAGCAGCTGTGGTACAGGTGATGTACATGGTCTACCTGGGGCTGTTCAGTTTGGCTGTGATGTGGCCTTCCTGCGGCAACCAGTACCTGGACACCATCATTTGTGCCTGGACCTTCCTCATTATTCTGGAGAACATCCGCCGGACCATCATCCTGCACCAGGTTTCAATACCTAGCTACTCACACAATTTATACTATTCTTGATTTAAAATAAACATTCTTCTCTGATTTATAATATAATAAAGTAAATAAAGCTTCCAGGGTTAAGTTTCTTGTGCAACTTTTTATTTTTAAGCTTTCGGACTTGTCAGTCATTCAACAGGAGTATCATGATAATAAATTGATGATATATACTATTTTTATATTGTAGCGAAGAAATAATTTATTATTTAATTTAATTGAATTATTCAATGAAAATATTCAACAGATTATATAAATTAATATTACTCGGTTTATGTAAAATAATGATCAAAATATTTCTTTGCTTGCTTGCTCAAGATCCTCTAGGTGTAGATAGTTTGGTTGTTGAGTTGTAGATAATTGTCGACTAGTCGTGCTGATGTCATCAATAAATACGCTTACATCTTAAGATATACAAATACCTGATTTCTACGTTACAAATTAATATTTACATATTTTAAATACTTATGATATTGAGAGAGAGAGAGAGAGAAAAACAACTTTTTGAAAATATACATGCATGGTGGATGATGGGTGCTGGTTTGAAGTCTCGAGATATCATTCAACCAGCACGTATCATCCACCACGCAGCAGCACGTATATTTTCAAAAAGTTGTTTTTCACACACAAAGAATGTAATTTTTTTCTCTTTCTCTCTTTTTTTTTTTGCTTATCCCTAGTACACGTGGTACAGGCCATGATAATCATGGTGGGTAGTTAGTGACCTGCTTTTTACTGTAAGCGCACCACATGCCTACACATGTGAAAAGCAGTTCGACTCTCTTTCTCTCAATATCATAAGTATTTAAAATATGTAAATAATAATGTGTATATAAAAATAGTATTTATCATTAATTTGTTAATGTGATACTCCTGTTGAAGGACTGACAAGTCCGAAAGCTTGAAAATAAAAAATTTGAACAAGAAACTTAACCCTGGAAGTTTTATTTATTTTATAACAAATTACTATTCTTTATTGTATTTCACACAAGTTATTATAGACCAAGACTGTGTCTATACTCTCATGCATGGTGTCATCTACATCTTACACAAGGTACCACTGTTGGAACATGGTTACCTAGACTGAGAATATGTAACAACAGCGATACATCCAGTACTAGCAAAGGACAGAGGTGGAAAGAGGACATTGGAATGACCACGACTTGAATACAATACAGTAGAACCTCTCTGTAAAAGACACCTAGTTGCAGAGCCAAAGTATCTTTTAGAGAGAAGTGTCCTCTTATTGGAGAGCAGCTAAATGGTCAAATTGTAATTTTGGCAATGAAAACTGTCCTTTGTAGAAAGTTGTTCTCTTGCGGGAGTGTCCTCTCAATGGAGATTCTACTGTACTATGGTGTTGAAGTCAAAATAGGAAGCCAGCACATCAACATTTCTGAGTATAGATTTGATAATGATG